GATTGAACTCAGGTCATCAGGCTTAGCAGCAAGCACCTTTACCCTCAAGCCATTTTACCAATCCCTCTGCAGTGTTTCTCAAGGGAGTTCTAGGCCCAGCCCTTCTGAAGTATAGTCGGAGAGGGGTCCATGAAAGTGAGATGGGCACTGAGATCTGGAACATGGCATGCTACGGTGACTAGAAGACCTTAGGTCACCTGCACTGGGCATCTAGAGAGCCCTCCCTGCAGGGAAACTCCTGAGGCTGCCACACGCTGGGACAGAACTGCCTGCCACTGAATCCCTCCTCCATGCCCCTGTCCCTCACAGGGCCTCAACACACTGCTGCACTGCCTTCTGACTCCTGGAAGAATCCATGCCCATTCTTCTGAAGATGGAGACTGTGGGCAAACTAGGGCTCTTCCTGCATCCGAAACTTCCACATGAGTTGGGGGCAGGACTTCCTAAAGTGACACCTGACAGAGCCACATGCAGGTCACTCCTAGCCAGTACTTACTTGCTTCCTCAAGTACTGTGTTCCCAATTAATCTCTGGATTTCACTTCTTTTCTTCTTTACCTGTTCCCACTGTTCCCTCACCTGCACACTGTATTCTTATTTCTTGGGAAATCTCCCTGTGTCTTCATGGGACTTTGATGTCTCAATGACATCTCTGAAAGCTGTTCCAGTTTAGGGTTCTGTCTTTCCTTTTTTGTTGTTGTTCTTTGTGGTGACAGTGGTAGGTATTGCTCCCTGAAGCCCCTAAGACAGCTCAGCTCTGTGAGGTATTCAGCTGCCTGTCAGTGAATCCCACCAGCCCCAACAATCCCAAGTCACCATCATTTGTGACTGGTCAGACCAGATCTTTCACAAGTGCAAGGGTGGAAAAAAGATGTGCTGTCCTGATGATGGGCTAGGAAAAGGGAAGGAGAGAAGGGGAAAGGGAAAGGGAAAGAAAAATACAGGTGTGGGTTTTTGGTTTTAGGGGCTGGGTGGGTTGGGTTGGGTTGGGTTGTTTTGGTTTGGTTTGGTTTGGTTTGGTTTGGTTTGGTTTGGTTTTTCAAGACAGGGTTTCTCTGTGTAGCCCTGGCTGTCCTGGAACTCATTTTATAGACCAAGCTGACCTCGAACTCAGAGATTCACCTGTCTCTGCCTGCAAGTGCCAGGATTAAAGGCATGCACCACACAATGCCTGGCTTTGTCGAATTTTTAAAAATAAAAGATTCTCATTGAGGAAATATTTTACATATTGAGTAAAGGAAATAAACCTCACTTAGAAGATACTTCTAAGAATGAGCAAGATAGCTTTCACTCTTGATAGCTAAAAAGACAAGAGAAAGTCATGCAATATTGAGGTGAAGGGACTGGGGAGATAGTAAAATGCTTGCCCTGCAAACGTTGGGGCTTGTGTTCAATCCCTTGGGTGTAGGTGGTGTCTACTTAAAATCCCAGCCCTGAGGAAGCAGAGGCAGGTGGAGCCCTGGAGCTCGATGGCCAACCAGCCAGTTTAGCTTTATTCGTGAGCCTCAGATCCCAATGAGAGACCCTGATTCCAAAAAGAAGATGGGTGTCTCTTGAAGAATGACACCCAGGCTTGACCCTGGCATCCACATGCATGTGCGCACACACCCACACATACACACAGATGCACACCACTAAAAGAAAAAAATTAAAGAAAAAAAACAGGGCCAAATATAAACCAGATCTGGTGGCTCATGCCTTGAACCCAGCACTCAGAAGGCAGGAAGATCACCTTGTGTTGGAGGATAGCCTAGGCTACATAGTAAGTTTGAGGCTAACTTAGGATATATAGGAAGACCTGTCTAAAAGTTCTATATCCTTGACTGGATAGCTGGGATGAAAAGGGAGATTTTTGCCATAGATAACAAGAAAGGACAAGTGCAGGATCCAGACAGTTGCCCCATTTGGGCTGACATTTGCTTCAGGGAATGGTGTCCCAGGTGTCATATTCCAAAGAGGAGATGGAAGCATAAAGCCCATATTTAAAAAATAAATAAATAAATAAGCAGGGAGAATATTCTGTAAACATTCACACAGAAGCCAGATTTCCAGGCAGTTTATACCTCAAAGAGCCAAACTAAACTGTATCCTACTAGGGTAGCCTAAAAAAAGAGAAGTGAGGAGATTTCCCTCTTATCATCAGGCCAGTTGAAAAGTGGAAAACTATGTGTATTGCCCCTTAGACAATATTCAAGTCCAAGTCTGTTGCCATTTGTGTTTGGAGCTAGAATGTACCCTGTAGCATAAATTGTTAGACAGTCTTATTAATAAAAACAAACCCAGAGCCAGGTATTGGGGTGAACACTGAAAGGTCAGAGAGACAGAACATGCAACAGCCACCTCACCTCGTCATCTTCTCAGCCGATCTTGTTTCCTCAAACTGGAAGCCTCTGAGTCCTCATCTGAATGGATCTCAGCTGAACTGCTGCTAAAAGCCTAAAAGCTTAAGAGTCCCTGGTCCTCACGTCTTATATACCTTTCTGCTTCCTGCCATCACTTCCTGGGATTAAAGGCGTGTGTCACCATGCCTGGCTGTTTCCAGTGTGGCTTTAAACTCACAGAGATTCGGATAGATCTCTGCCTCCAGAATGCTGGGATTAAAGGCATGTGTGACATCATTTTCTGGCCTCTATGTTTAGTGGCTGTTCTGTTTTCTGACCCCAGATAAGTTTTTTAAGGTGCACAATATATTGGGGGACACAACATCACAGTACCCCCTTTGTTACGTTTCCCTTTGCTCAGAAGACTTAGAATTCTTTTTAGAAATACTTTTCTCATATCTCAGAATCACAAAACTAAATGTTCTACCTTCGTTTTCATTTAAAATTGTATTGTTTCTCATTGTTGTAGTTTGTGAATAGTCCCTGTCTCATTGCTGAGAATCAAACTCAAACCTAGACAGAGCCTCACACATACTAGGCAAATACTCTACCACTGAACCACAGCCCTGACCTCACTTGAGCACAGTGTGTACACATACATGCTAACAGGAATCAGACCTTTGGCCTTCTGTTTTCTGGGCAAGTACTCTACCATTGAGCTACGTCTCCAGACTCAGTATGATTTTTACCTTAGGTTTTTGTTGTTGTTGTTGTTGTTGTTATTGTTGTTGTTGTTTTTAAAAGCACATCTGTTGTTGTTTGTTTCTTCTCTTTTTTGGGGCCCACCACCCAGCCCCAAATAAATCATACGTGGAGGCTTATTCTTACTTATGAATGTCCAGCCTTAGCTTGCCTTGGTTTCTTGCCAGCTTTACTTCAATTATTCCATCTACCATTTGCCTCTAGGCTTTTCCCATTCTCTGACTTCTGTAAATCTTACTCATACTCCGTGGCTTGCTGTGTAGCTGGATGGCTGGCCCCTGGAGTCCTCCTCCTTCCCTGGCTACTAGATCTCTCCTCCCAGATTTCTCTCTATATATGTTCTGCCTCTCCCGCCAGCCCCACCTATCCTTTCTCCAGCCTTGCTATTGGCCAGTCCTTTATTAGGCCATCAAGTGTTTTACACAGGCACAGTAACACAACTTCACAAAGTTAAACAAATGCCAACATAAACAAAAGTAACACACTTTAATATTCCCCCAACACATATCTTAAATACCTTCTCATTTAAAAGTAATTTTAAGCAATAGAGTGGTATGTGTAATAAAAACATGACCAGGCATGGTATCCCATGCCCTTAATCTCATCACTTGGGTAGCAGAAGCAGGTCGATCTCTGTGAGTTCAAGGCCAGCCTGGTCTGCAAATCAAGTTCCAGGTTAGCCAGGGCTAAATAGTGAGACCCTGTCTCAAAAAATAAATGGGGGTCTGTCAAGATGCCTGAGTGGATAAAAGCACTTGCTGCCAATCTTGAGGACCTGTGACCAGTTCTCAGGGCCTACATAGTAGAAGGGAGGAACTAACTCCCTCAGGTTGTCCTCAGACTTCACACACATGGTGGGATGAGAGTACATGCACACACATAACTAAGTAAATATAATCAAAAGCAATTCTTTTCCAATGAAAGTTCCTCCATTAGTCCTAGTGCTCTTTTATACATGCTCCCCTCCCAGGTCCTATTTCCCTCCTCACAGACAGCCACTGCTCAAAGCTTAGTGTTGGGATACAACTTTGTAATTTTCCATCTGATGGGAAAAGTCAGGGTCAATTTGTTCCCTCATTTGGGGGTTTTCCTGGTTTAGCTATCTATTGAAAACATAAATGAAAGAAGATCCCATTGGATGGAACTCAGCCTGGACTGCAGGCATGATTGATGGCTTGTATAACTCAGGTGACTTCAGAGTCATTGGTGCTAAATAAAACAGATTGGGATATAAATTTAAAGAAGGAGAAGGGACCTGCGATGTGCTCGCTGTGTGTACTATTTCATACTGGATACCTTCTTAGCAGCTGTTGTTTTCTGTACCAAATATCCTGAGATAAGGGGCCTTCTTCCCATTTCACAGATAGAAGGCCCAGGGCCACACTCCACCTAGTTCACCCAGTTAGAGCTGGGCTCTTAAGTTGTCAGACACTGCATTGAGGATTTGTGGTGCTGCTGCTGCAAAGAGCAGGGGACCTTGTTTTCCTCTCTTCACATAAGCAAAAACCATCATCATAGCTGTAAACTACCTTTGGCCCAAAAGGAACACTGGAGTGTCCCTGGGATTTGGGCTGTTGGGTGGTGGTTGTTTTGGTGCTAGGGATTGAACCCAGGACCTCATACCTGCCAGGCAGGCTCTACCCCTGAGCGACGCTCCCACTCAGTTGTTAGTTGTTTTCCATCTGTAGCTTGTGTACCTATTGCCTAATGGTTTGTATGCTTTGTTGTGTGCTTTGTGTCAGTCGCAATAAGCATTGCTTTGAGAGCCTAAGAAATCTGAGGCCTAAAGAGGTAAAGAAACTCCTAGCAGAATTAGCTTAAGAGGCACTCACATCCAGTTCTGTATGGTACTGGGCCCCTCAAGAGATGGTTGGATAGCTGAGCTAGGCCTCATTCTGCTCTCTGCTCCTCCTCCTAGATAACAGTGACTTGATCGCATGCACAGTCATCACCAAGGACGGCGGCATGGTCCAGCGCTTCCTGGCTGTGGATATTTACCAGATGAGCCTGGTGGAGCCTGATGTGTCCAGGCTTGGCTGGGGAGTTGTCAAGTTCGCAGGCCTTCTGCAGGTGAGAGTCTAAGAACCCATCTGCCTTCTCAGCCAGCTCCCCACAAGCGTGCCCAAGTGTCAGCTCTATAATCACTTCTAATGACACAAGAAGGATGTGCGCAAAAGCCAGAACACTGCAGAGATAAGAGCCAAGTCCCCTTTACTGAAACCTTGATCCTAACACCTACCCTCCTAACGTCCTCCCCTACAGGAGCTAATCCATTGTCAGGCTGGTCCTTCTAGATCTGCTTCACTGCTAAGTGCAAGTACTACATGTGCTGTTTTTTAAATTGTGTATCTAACCAATTGCCAGACAAACTTGTCAGGGAAGGACTACATGGTTGTACACGCAAGAATCAGGATGATATCCACAAATCCAAAGACAGACTGGTCTATTTAGTAAGTTCCAGACCAGTCAGGTAAGTCCATGTAGCAAGACCCTGTCTCTAATTAAAATGGGGGTGGGGGTAGGATGGGAGTGTGGATAGAGTGCTTGGGTTGTAGCTTGGTTGATATGGAGTGCTTACCTACCAAGCATTAGGCCCTAGAGATTCCATTCCCAGCACCACATAAAACTGGGTACATGTCTATAACCCTGGAAGTTAGGAGGTAGAGGAAAGATGATCAGAAGTTAAAGGTCATTCTTGGCTACTTAGGGAGTCTGAGGCCAGCCAGAGCTACATGAGACCCTGTCTCAAAAAAAAAAAAAAAAAAAAAAAAAAAAAAAAAAAAAAAAAAAAAACACCAGACCAGGTGTGATGGCACATGCCTTTCATCCTAGTGCTTGGGAGGCAGAGGCAGGTGGATCTCGATGAGTCTAAGGCCAACCTAGTCTACATAGTATGTTCCAGGCCAGCCAAGGCTACATAATGAAACTCTGTCTCAAAAACAAACAAATGAAACTTCAGAAAGAAATATGATCAGGCAGTGGTGGCACACACTTGTAATCCCAGCACTCGGCAGGCAGATCTCCAAGTTTGAGGCCAACTGGGTCTACAAAGTGAGTTCCAGGACTGCCAGGCCTACACAGAGAAACCCTGTCTCAAAAAACAAAATGCTGTAAACATGCACAGGCTTTTTTTCTTATCTTTATTCCCTAAATAACTATTTACACAGCATATATATGATATGAAGTCTTATGCATCATCTAGAGAGGACTTAGAGTCTACAGGAAGATGGAGTAGGTTATAGGAAGATACTGTGCCATTTAAAGTAAGGACTTGAACATCTGCAGATTTTGGTGTCACAGTGGGTAGGGGAGTGCCCAAGGGATAACTGTACATGTATTTAGAGTGTGCATAGATTTTTGTGCTGTCACATTGGCCATATTGTAGACTTGGCTTTTTTCCTAGCCTGTCTTGGAGTGTGTCTAGCCATTTTAGCACATGCATACCTGCTGGGATTCTTTTTTTTTTTTTTTTCATCTACTTATTTTACATCCTGGCTGCAGCCTCCTCCCCATCCTCTCCTCCCAGTCCCTTCTTCTCATCCCCCTGCTCCTAACCCCCAATCCCCTCTCTTCTGTCTCCATCCAGGAAAGGGCAGGTCTCCATGAGTATCAATAAAACCTGGCATATCAAATTGCAGTAAAACTAAGCCCCTCCCCATGTTTTAAGGCTGGGCAAGGCAATCCTGTATGAGGAGTAGGGTCCCAAAGCCAGTAAAAGAGTCAGAGACAGCCCCTGTTTCTGCTGTTAGGAGTCCCACAAGAGGACCAAGCTACACAAATATAACATATATGCAGAATGCCTAGGTCAGTCCTATACAGGCTCCCTGGTTATCTGTTCAGTCTCTGCCAGCCCCAATGAGCCCAGGTTAGTTGATTGTGTGAGCCTTCCCATGGTGTCCTTGACCCCTCTGACTCCTACACTCCTTTCTCTTGCTCCTTCTCAGGATTCCCAAACTCTGCCTAATGTTTGGCAGTGAGTCTCTGCACCTTTCTCCATCAGTTGCTAGATGACACATCTCTGATGACAATTGGGCTGGTCACAGGAGATGGCTGGTTCAGGCTGCTTATCTGCTATTGCTAGGAGTCTAAGCTGGGGTCCTCCCTGTAGAAGTTCCCCTGTGCCAGACTTCCACCCGACCCCAAAATGCACACCAGCAGTCCCCCTCAATACTCTCCCTGCCACATGCACCCCCCCCAATCTGATCACTCATGTTTCCATCCCCACCTGCCCTCAGTCCACTCAAAATCTCTTCTATTTCCCCTTCCCAGGAAGATCTGGGTCTCTGCCCCACCCCACGCCCATGAACCCTCCTTGTTACCTAGTCTCTCTGGGTCTGTGGATTGTAGCACAGTTATCCTTTATTTTACATCTAATATCCACTAATGAGTGAGTATATACCATGTTTGTCTTTCTGGTTCTGGGTTACCTCACTCAGGATGATTTTTTTTTCTAGTTCCATCCATTTGCCTGCAAATTTCCTGGTGTCCTTGTTTTTAACAGCTGAGTAATACTCCATGTGTAAATGTACCACATTTTCTTTATTTTCTTTATCCATTCCTTGGTTGAGGAACAGGTTCTGGCTATTACAGATAAAGCAGCTATGAACATAGTTGAGCAAGTGTCCTTGTACATCCTTTGGGTATATGCCCAAGAGCAGTATAGCTGGGTCTTGTGGTAGATTGATTCCCAGTTTTCTGAGAAACTGAAGCCATGCTAACTTCCAAAGTGGCTGTGCAGAGAATCATTAGGTCATATTTCAAAAACTTGTACTCTACAAAATTGGAAAATCTAAAAGAAATGGGTAAATTTTTTTTGATAGATACCACTTACCAAAGTTAAGTCAAGATCAGATAAACAATTTAAATAGACCAATAACTTTATCTAAGTTAAATCAAGATCAAATAAACAATTTAAATAGATCAATAACTCCCAAGGAAATAGAAACAGTCATTAAAAGTCTCCCAACCAGCCGGGCGGTGGTGGCACACACCTTTAAGCCAAGCACTCAGGAGGCAAGCCAGGTGGATCTCTGTGAGTTCGAGGCCAGCCTGGTCTACAGAGTGAGATCCAGGACAGGTACCAAAGTTACACAGAGAAACCCTGTCTCAAAAAACAAAAAAAAGAAAAAGAAAAAAGTCTCCCAACCAAAAAAAGCCAAGGTCCAGATGGTTTTAGTGTAGAATTCTACCAGACTTTAAAAGAAGAGCTAACACCAGTACTCTTCAAATTCCACAAAATAGAAACAGAAGGAACATTGCCAATTTTTTTCTATGAGGCCACAGTCACCCTAATACCCAAACTACACAAAGACCCAACAAAGACAGAGAATTACTGACCAATTTCACCCATGAACATAGATGCAAAAATACTCAATAAAAAACTGGCAAACTGAATCCAAGAACATATCAAAAAGATCATCCACCATGACCAAGTAGGCTTTATCCCAGAGATGCTGGGATGATTCAACATAGGAAAATCTGTCAATGTAATCCACCGTATAAACAAACTGAAAGGAAAAACCACATTATCTTCTCCTTGGATGCAGAAAAAACCTTTGACAAAATCCAGTGCCACTTCATGATAAAAGTTTTGGAGATCGGGGATACAAGGGACATACCTAAACATAATAAAAGCAAGCTGATTGCCAACATCAAATTAATTTTGATTAATTAATTGCTTTGAGAAACTTAAAGCAATTCCACTAAAATCAAGAACAAGACAAGGTTGTTCACTCTTTCCATAGCTATTCAATATAATGCTTGAAAAGTTCTAGCTAGAGCAATAAGACAACTAAAGGAGATCAAGGGGATACAAATTGGAAGGAAGAAGTCAAAGTACCATTATCCACAGATGATATGATAGTATATATAAGCAACCCAAAAAACTTTCCCAGGGAACTCCTACAGCTGGTAAACACCTTTAGTCAAGTGACTGGACTGGATACAAAATTAACTCAAAAAAAAAAAATCAGTAGCCCTCCTATATACAAATGATAAATGGGCTGAGAAAGAAATCAGAGAATCAACACCCTTTACAATAACCTCAAATAATATAAAATTTATTGGTGTCATTTTAACCAAACAAGTGAAGGACCTGTATGACAAGAACTTCAAGTCTTTGAAGAAAGAAATTGAAGAAAATAACAGAAAACAAAAGGTTCTCACCACAGCATGGTGACCATATAAAACTATTTAAAACCATCTAAAACTGACCACATACTCAGCCACAAAGCAAGTCTCAACAGATACAAGAAAATTGAAATAACCCCTTGTATCTTATCAGACCACCATGAATTAAAGCTGGATTTCAACAACAACATAAACAACAGAAAGCCTACAAACTCATGGAAACTGAGCAACTCTCTACTGAGTTACCACTGGGTCAAGGAAGAAATAAAGAAGTGGTGGCAGCCGCCTTTAATCCCAGCACTTGGGAGGCAGAGACAGGTGGATCTCTGTGAGTTCCAGGAAAGGCGCAAAGCAACACAGAGAAACCCTGTCTCTGAAAAAAAAAAAAAAGAAGAAGAAGAAGAAGTTAAAGTTTACTTCCTAGAATTCAATGAAAATGAATGCACGATATACCCAAACTTATGGGACACAATGAAAGCAGTGCTAAGAGGAAAGTTCACAGCACCGAGTGCCTTCATGAAGAAATTAGAGAGATCTCACACTAGTGACTTAACAACACACCTGAAAGCTCTAGAACAAAAAGAAGCAGACATGCCTAAGAGGAGCAGATGGCAGGAAATAATGAAACTGAGAGCTAAAATCAGTAAAATAAAACAAAGAGAACAATACAAAGAATCAATGAAACAAAGAGTTGGTCCTTTGAGAAAATACAAAAGATAGGAAAACCCTTATCCAAACCAAAAGGCAGAGAGAGAATATTCAAATCAACAAAATCAGAAAGAAAAGGGGGGCCATAACAATAGACTCCAAGGAAATACAGAGAATCATTAGGTCATACTTAAAAAACCTGCTGGGATTCTTTTACCTGCTGTGTGGCTACAGTAGGGCATGCTCAGCCAGAGCTGTATTCGGCCATCCCCAATTTTCCAAGCATGCTGCTGCAAACCTAGTGCTCTACTTCCTCGTGCCCTTGGGCAGGATTTTCCTAGGCAGATAACTAAGAATTTGGAATGTGGCTATTTCAAGAGTTTGTAGCTCCTGCCAACTTCCTCTAGCACCATTGTTGCCACAGGAGTTCCTGAGAATTCCCTCCTTTGCTCTCTGGAACATAGCAGGCTTTAAAGCACCAGATATTAGTGGAGCTCTATGGTTTACAGTGGGTGACTAGTGTCTTGCTGTAGAGGGAATGAGACAAAGAGCCCTCAGAACAGAGAACAGCCTTCCATTTCATCTCTACTGTGCCCTAGCCCTAAATTCCCAGCCTGGGGCTCGCCCTACTTTAAAGAAGTCCATTTCCTTGCTGTGCTGTTCTGGTTCCCAGAAGGACCTGCCCAGGCTGATTCGACTGCTCACTGCAGCATTGACCAGCCAATTGTTGCCTGCTCTTCATGGGATGCACCTGTGCATGAAGATGCTGCTTCTGTCTCCTCGTTTTCCCAGACTCCTCTCTTTCCAGACCCTCCTGTCTTTCAGTGAGGATGTAGGAGGATCTTCCCACCCACCCGCAAAGGGACTCCTGAGTAAAACACCACCCAGTAGATGACCATGCATCTTATTATCAAGGCTTAGACCAATTTCTTTAGAACTTAACACTAGGAAAGTCATTTTTTTCTGTCTCAGAGGATTAATGTATGTCCTCTGTCAGACAATGAAAGCCACATAGTCCCACCAGCACCACCTCTTTTGGTTCTCTTCCAGTAGCTACTATTTGTCAGGCTGTTACTGTACACCTAGCTCCCTGCTTTGAATTCATAAGAACGTCATCTGATCTGCTGTCAGCTTTTGATACAGACCTTCTTTCCAAAGAGGGAGCCAAGAGCAGTGCCCAAGAACAGTAGCCCCTTCCTGCTGAACCTCTTTCAGTGGTTCCCACCTCCTCCAGCATGGCTGACCTTTGGTCCATCTTCTGTCTGGTATGCTTTTATCTCATGTGCCCTTTAGCCTTTGTGGGCAGCAGACGCGGCACAGAACCCATCCTGAGGCTTTATGTGGAACCAGTCTTAGACACTCACTGCTTGTCAGTGTCTTTTCTCCCTTTCACATGAAGTCACTGCTAAATGGTCCTGGTGGCCCTCTTTCAGGGACTGTCGTCCAAGATGTACCAAAGGACACCAACAGTGCTCCATTTTTAAGAGAAGCAAGGAGGTGGTGTCTAACAGGACACCAGGTAGTGACAAGTGTTTGGAGTTGTGACCTCTGGTTTCCCAGAAGGAAAGATTATTGGAGTTTTCCTGTTGTGCCAGTGGGTGGCATCCCAAGTCCTCATGGAAAGGAGTGCCAGCCATGGAAGCATTGACCCCCTTCTCCCTTGTCAGGCCTGCACTGGTCTGCACCTTTGAATCTTTGAGACTTGGCCTCCTTCAGAAGAAAAGCAGACTCAAAGTGCTGGTGTCTTTCTACATGAGCCACTGACACCCCCCAATCTGCCAGCCCCTGGGCCTGATGAATGTTTTGCCTTTGCCTTCTCACTATGCAGGACATGCAGGTGACAGGAGTGGAGGATGACAGCCGTGCCCTGAATATCACCATCCACAAGCCTGCCTCCAGCCCACACTCTAAGCCCTTCCCCATCCTGCAGGCCACCTTCGTGTTCTCTGATCATATCCGCTGCATCATCGCCAAGCAGCGCCTGGCCAAGGGCCGCATCCAGGCCAGGCGTATGAAGATGCAGAGGATAGCCGGTAAGTGACCTCAAGAGCAGGGGCTCACCGCCATAGGGCTGTTGTCAGCTGTTCACATTGACCTAGAAAAGTCTCAGGGTTCCTGTAGACAAGGACATGAGAGAGTCGGGACTCATTGTGCTTCAAAGAATGGAATGTCCCTATTTCCCAGGTGATTAGAATGGAGAAAATTTCCAAGGCTGCATGGAAGAGAAGGGGGCCCTCCCTAACAGACAAGAGGCTAGAAACAGGCAGTCGGTAGGAAACAGCTGTCCTCACTCTTCATGCTGAAACACCGAAGTACACAGTCACAGAGTGCTTTGACTGCCCTCTGCCATGCTGGGTATCCAAGCAGCTCTTAGACTGGTAAAGCCTTATCTGCCCACTGTACAGAGGAAACTAAGGCTGTGACTTTTTAGTCACACAGAATAAATTTGCAAAGCTTCCTACTTGGGTTTTTTGTTTCAGCTCTCGGGATGAAGTCCATGGCCTCCCACAGCTAGACAAGGGCTGCCTCGGAGCTGCCCTAGCTAGCAGAATTTCCCTCACCCTTCCCTCCTCTCCTTTTCTGTCTCTTGGTGAGAAGCCAGCACTAGATCAGGGGTCATTCACACCTCACAGGGATGCTGGGGTTTACATTGTCCACACTGTCTTGTTAAAGGCCCCGAAATGAGAATGTTTCTTCATCTCCTGAAGTGAAAGTCAAAACACTGTCCTGGGGCAGGGTGGCATGGGGCAGTCCTAACCTCTCCTTCAGGAGTCCCAGGTTAGAGCTGTAACTCTGGTGGTAGAATGATTGCCTAGCATATACAAAGCCCTAGGTTTGATCCTTGACACCATAGCAAACCAGTTGTAGTGACACATGCCTATTATCCCAGCACTTGGGAGGTGGAGGCAGAAGGCATACAAATTTAAGGTCATTGTCACTGTATAATGAGTTCAGTACCAGGCTGGGCTACATGAGCTCCTGTCTCACAAGATAGGTAGGTAGGTAGATAGATAGACAGACAGACAGATAGATGATAGATGCATACATAGACAGACAGATAGTTAGATAGACAGACAGATAGATGCATACATAGACAAACAGACAAAATAAGTGCCTTCAACTCAGGTCCAAACATCTCTCTATTGTGGCTTCTAAGGATGTCCAGCCCACGTGAAGAGGAGCATTCTCTCAGGAAACAAAGGAAGAAGAATCTCTGGGTGCATTTCGTTTCTGGACACGATATGCACCTGAGTCATTCCCCCTTCTTAGTTCTCAATTAGCTGAAGCCTGGCCTGCAGAATCATTACAGGAGTGTTTGGTAATGTGTAAAGTGACTTAAATCATTCAGCCCTTCCTTTCAAGATTTATTTCCACACTTTTCCCCTGTAATGTGAAGTACATGTAATGTGCCACCGCTAGCATGAAGGCCAGCTATTTCATTTGAAAATTGAGGATTATACTGTCAAGTGTCTGCCAGCATGAACACCTTGGATGTTTCTTCAATTATTATTATTATTTTTAAAGATTTATTTATTTATTATGTATACAATATTCTGTTTGCATTTATCCCTACAGGCCAGAAGAGGGAGCCAGATCTCATTACAGATGGTTGTGAGCCACCATGTGGGTGCTGGGAATTGAACTCAGGACCTCTGGAAGAACAGCCAGTGTTCTTAACCTCTGAGCCATCTCTCCAGCCCCCTTCAATTATTTTGAAAAACCAGTCTGAACTAATATGTCCTGTGAGTTGTTTGAGGGAAGACGACAGCTATGACATGTAAACACACACTCATAAATACAAACATATGCTTTCTTGTACACATATTCTCATGAGCAGTTATATTTAAGATTCTACCACCCAGGTATTGAATAATCTGAAATAGGGCTGGGCAGTGGCCCAGTCAGTGAAGTGCTTGCCACACAACCATGAGGTTTTGAGTTTGGATTCCGAGCATCCATGTAGAAGCAGGCCATTGGCAGCTCTAGTCCCAACTAGTGAGTGTGAGGTCGAGGAAGAAACCCTGTGTCAGAAAATAAGGCAAAGGGCTTGCAAGATGACTCGGCAAGTAAAGGTGCTTACCGCCAAGTCTAATGGCCGGAGTTCAGTCCCTAGAGCCTATTTGGTAGACACAGAGAACTGACTCTTACAAGTCGTCCTCTGGCCTCCACACATGTGCCATGCCACACATAGGTGCCTGTGTGCACACATACATGCACACAGCCAAACACTCACAAAATAGATGTAGGAAAAATGTTAAAGTTGGATAGCATTCAAGGAAGATGCTCACTATTGACCTCTAACCTCCATATACACATGCACACACATGCATGTACATCCACACATACATGTAGATACACAAAAAGAAACTGAAAAAATCTCCATCTGTATTGAGCATATGTGGACTTTTTCCATGGGATTACTCCCTAAACAGCATAGGCAAGAACTCCTGCCATAGCACTTGGATTGCATTAAATGTAAGTCATCTAGAGATGATTGACATTAGACAAGATGTATATAAGTCATGTACAGGTGTAGTTCTATTCTATATAAGGGACCTAACTATAGATTTTGGTATCTTTGGGGAGGAGTCCTTCAGATACTGAGGAATCACTCATTTGTATAGCTTGCTTGTCTATCCATGTATGCCTGTGTACAAACTTTGGGGGCAGAATTGGCCTCACTTGCTCTAGGATCTGAAAGTGCATGGAAGCCTAGCCTTTGGGATCTTTTATATAGATTTCAAGATGCAAATTGGCTCAGCATTTGCTCTATCCAGCCAGGTCTGGAACCCTTGCCTTCCTGGCCTGAGTCCCTACTTCTGGTTGTGTTCTGACTTCCTTAGGGTCTCTGGCATCCCACCAGTCTCCCACCTCATGACTATGTGTTGGATTCCCCCAAGAGTCACAGTGTCAAGGCTGGTATCACTCTAGCCTCATGCCCAAGTCATATCAAACTGCCTGTCCCCTGTTCCACATGCTAAAAACAAACTATGGTGCTGTTTGATTATAGCCCTTCTGGACCTCCCAATCCAGCCTACCACTGAAGTCCTGGGATTTGGACTCGGCTCCTCCTCCTCCCAGCACCTGCCTTTCCGTTTCTATGACCAGTGCCGCAGAGGGAGCAGTGACCCCACAGTGCAGCGCTCTGTCTTTGCATCCGTGGACAAGGTCCCAGGTAAGCCTGCCCTCCTGCTAGGGGCTCAGGGTGCTTTCCTGCTAGGCCTGCTGGAGGCCTTCCTCTCAGAATCCAGGCTGCTGGAAGTCCCAGCTTCGAAGAACACAAGTGAGGCACACACCCAAAAAGCGGTCTTGGCTTTCCCTTCTTTCTTCCGTCGCTTGCGTTTGGTTTTCCAGAGATTTGTTAGGTATGTGAAGAAACTTCTCAGAATCAAAACTAAAAATTTCTTGGAAGTACTTGACTGATTAGTAATGAGGGTTGTGGAGAGATGTCTTCCTTCTTGTAAGATGACTTAGGATGGTGTGTGGTTCCTGGTACCCTGACGGGGAGGACACGTGAGGAAGTCCCAATGCCCACAGGCCTTCTGCTTCTTCCTTCTGGGAGCAGCTCCTCCCACTTCCAACAGCACTGTCTCCAGCCCTCCTCCCCTCACCCAAAAGGAGAAGCTTGAGTGGAAAGTTCAGGGGCGGAAAGAGCTGCTTCTTCAGAAGAGCAGCATTCCTTTCCTGCTCTGACACTTGGACCTACGTACATCCATATGCAGCAGATCCCACGGGTGGGGGTGGGGCATGAATGACTCTCTTCTCTTGATTATAAAACATAAAAAACTGGCCAAGCTCTCCTCCACTCTTAACACTTCCATGTTCAGAGTTCAGACTTGAACTCTTGAACTGCTAGTATTATAAAATAGTCTCAAAAGTGATTGTTGATGTTGGAACAACAAAAAGTAATGACAGCCTGCTCAAATCCAAGACCTTGTCCACCTGTGATTTAGTCCTTCATTCATGATTTGATTTATTTATTTCATGCATACCATAATTACATTTTTTTTTTTGTTTTTTTTCAAGACAGGGTTTCTCTGTGTAGCTTTGGAGCCTGTCCTAGATCTCACTATTTAGACCAGGCTGGACTCAAACTCACAAAGATTCGCCTGGCTCTGCCTCCCAAGTGCTGGGATTAAAGGCGTGCGCCACCACTGCCTGGCAATTACGTAATTTTTTAAATCCAACAAGATTTGATAAAATGCAAACAAGTCGAGCCAGGCGTGGTGGTGCATGCTTTTAATCCCAGCACTTGGGAGGCAGAGGCAGGAGGATCTCTGAGTTCGAGGCCAGCCTTGTCTACAGAGCGAGTTCCAGGACAGCCAAGATTACACAGAGAAACCCTGTCTTGGAGGGGGGGGGGGATTTTATATATATATATATAAATCCCTTTTACTTAGAGGTAACATGTGAACAGTTTCTTGCATGTCCTTCCAGGAAAGTTTGTTTGCATGTCATATGTATGTCTCTGCATGTATCACATGTAGAGTTATATGCCATATATGTGAGTCTACATGTGATTCCCCACTATTGGTACTTAATTTGAAGTCAACACTATATGTTACCACAAATAATTGATTCAATAACTATTGCCTGGTATTCTATTGGATATCTAGAACAACGCCAACCACTTTATGTTGATAGGCGTTCCACCACACCCTGCTAGGGAAAGGTTTTAAATCCTGGTACATACAGTCCTAAGGTGAACAGCAGCAACAAAAAGTCATTATGCAGCCCTTTGCCTGTGACAACTTTCTCTCTGAATGGCTGGTTTAGACTGAGATGCCTGGCAGCCTGTCTTCATCTTCAACTAGGAGGTATGAAATGGTTCTACCTTCTAGATCCCGGTTCTCCTTGTTAAAAGTCCTCTGGTCTACCTCCTTGGAAACAGTGGTTGCTCAGTCAATACAAACCACCATGACTGAGTGCAGGTCAACTAACACACCCTGACCTGGTAAGAAATTCCCTCTTTGGGGCATCACACTTCTTTCCATCCCAGAACTTGGAGGAGAAAAGCCTGAGTCCTGTTTCTAGCTAATCCTTAGAACCAGGTGGGATGTGGCAGCCCAGGGCCGAGCATACCTGTCCTCAGGAACCGTACCATCTCCTTGTTAGCATAGTGCCAGGTGATAGCAGCCCTCTTCCTTGTCTCTCCAACCCTGCCAGGGCTACAGGGCTAGGCTTTGAGATCATCAATCATCAGAGTGGAGCCTTGACCTTTGCTGATTGGCACAACAAGGACATTGCTGTGTCCTGCTGCTGGTATCAGGAGCAGAGGATATGAGGCCATACCTGTGAGGGCTAGAGTATGTCCCAGGGAGCCGCTGCAGGAGGTCGTCCAACCCTTAATTGGCCCTAGAAAAGCCATGAAGCTTGGGCAGGGAAAAGACATTGTCATTTATGTCCCCTATGACCTGACATCCCCTTCCTCCAAGCCCCACTGCATAAATTGATACCAGAGAAAGTACTTACAAGATACTTAGAAACCCTGTGCCCCAAGCTGTTAGAAGGGTGAGTGTTATATAGAAGGAAGGATGGCAGCCCACCACAGTCTTCCCAGCACTTAGCACACCAGCAGCTATTCAAGAACTCTGCTTAATTTCCTCTACAAGTACCCCAGTGCTTGTTCTGCCCCAGAAGATGACCCCTGCAGACTTCGCAGTAGATCACAACAGGAGTAACTTCCTCCATGGGACCAGTTCCCATGAACTGGATATTCCCAGAAGCCTCCACCTCTCCCTCTCATCTCAAGTGGTCACTAGGATGCATCGTCCCCCAGCTTCCCCTCACTGGAGCAGCGCAGCAACCCTCTCATCAGTCCTCTGCCTCCCTTCAGCACTTCTCACGACTAGGGCTTGAGACCCCTTCGTGTGCTTTGAAAGTCCCAGGAGTCCAGAGAGCTTGAGTTCTTGTGGATTATGGCTGTCCCTGTTCATAATACTAGAAATTGAAACTTTAAAAAAAATACTTTTTATAATTACTTGATAGTCTATCACATATAAAACATCAAAAGTATAACTATCTGTGAATGGTAACTGTTCATTCAGATTTTACATTTTTGGGATCTTAATGCCTGGCACAGTAGCAGTCAGACCTGCCTGGGTGCTTCTGCATTGGTCTGTTGAAGGAGTAGCTTTCCCATGATCTCTGGAATACAAAGGGAAAGGGTGTCTTTCTGTTGACCCGCTCCAGAGCACACCTGGAGAACCACCGCTGGGCCATGGAGTCCTGCCCTGCTCATGGCCTTTACACTGGCTGCTTTATCTAGGTCTTGGGTGCCTGCCTCCCAGTGATAGCCCAAGTCAGTGTGTGGGCTGCTTCCTCCAAGGCCTTTTGTGATCTCTCTGCTGATCAGGGCCACACCCTTCCCCCCTGCCACATTGCCCTGGTTTATTTTCTCAGTAGGATTCAGTTCCTTACCTGGCTGACATATTTGTGTGCCTGTGTGGTTTCTTTTCCCCCATGGAGAATATCACTGTGTGGAACTGTTTTGTTCACCACTCTACTTCAGTGCCCAGCAGTGGCTTCATTAGTTAGTTGTCAAGTGAAATGTAAGCCTGCACTTGATCCTGTCAGCCTTAGAGCAGGTCCCCTCCCAAGTTGTCTTCTTTGTCTGAACACCAAGAAGACAAGGATAGCCCTTCTAGGACGTCAGGCATCTAGGGGCTTAGTGTGCTCAGGGAACATAAGAGGACCAGGACCCAGATCTTCAGCAACACTACCATCTAACTTCTGTTGCCAGATTGACATGTGTCTCCCAAGCAGGGGTACCTTGGAAATAGTTTAGCATGCCTGTTACAGAACATGCCCCTCCCCCAACTGCCTTCCTGGGCTTTGCAGAAGTCAGAGTAAAGAGAGCCAGGTGGAGGGATAGCCATTGGCCTCCTCTCTGCAGCATTCACAGCTACCTTCTGGGGCCTTAGGATGCCATGTGTGACGGTTGCCACCTTCTGGAATAATAGCCCAGGCTGTTGACTATGGAGATTCTTACCAATTCAAAGCAGAGAAACCAACTCCAGCCTATGCATGGTCAACTCTCAGGGTTCACTTGATTGGGACACATCTGTGTCTGTGTCCCAAGTGATGCACAGGCCAGTGTGACTCTCCTTTAGACTCTAAACTTGATTATATTTGATGGAAGTATTTCTCACACTTCCTGGGGAAAAACTGTAAGGTGGAATATAAGCTAGGCTGCAGAGTTATCAGCTAACCACTCTCAAGTGTTTCTTCATCCATTTGGCTAGGAAGTTACAAATCCTGTGCATCTATCTGTATTGATGTATCTGTTCTGTATTGATGGCTCTTGCCACCAGTGGTCAGCTTCTTGGAGCAGAGCTTGGGTCACCTGGTCAGGGAGGGAATGTCAATGGTAGCCAGCGTGGGGGCAGCAGCTTCTTGAGGAGTACCCCAAGCCCTGATGGCAGTAGCTATTTCCAGAATTTGCCATGGCCAGCAGGATATGCACAGCATGCCCTTAGACTGATGTTTCCATAAATGGTGAAGATCCTAGAGCAGAAGCTCTTCCCAGCAGAACTTTCTTCTTATGACTGAATTATGTTCCTTGCATGGATATACCACATTTTGCTAATTCATTCTCCCCACTAAATAGACTTTTGGTTGTTGTAACTAGGAATCTTTATGTGTAGGTTTTAGCTCCAAAGCATATGCCTAGCTTGCAGTAGCCAAATGGTCATTTAATGTTTTAAGAACTGCCAAACCATTTTTCCTCAGTCTTTTCAACCTTTAGCTGAAATTGTTGTTTCTTTTCCATTTGCACAATGGCCCTGCCTGAGACTGGAAGAGACTCAGAAGGGACCTGTTTCTCTCGGCAGTGCTCAGGGAGACAGCTCAAGCGGGAGAGGACCCAGAGAATGGGTGTGTGCTGTCTTACCATCAGTCATACCTGCTGGGGGCTGGCCTTTTTGGTCCTGTGCAAATCTGGCTCCACACCACTCCGTCATGGTTGGGGTACCGGTAGAGTTGGACTTGGTGCTGTTAGGACCATCCTCAGCTTTCTTCTCCTCCTGGCCAGCTTCCTGCTAGCTTGAGGAGGTGTCTGCCTTGGGGCAGACCTTTCAGTCCCAGAGGAGGGGTTGGTGAGGTAGCTAGCTCAGTTGGTAAAGTGATGGCTGCCTGAGCAGTGAGGAGCCAAAGACAAGGCTGTGGGGATGACAC